GCTGGGCAAGATGGGCAGGAGCAGGTGGGGCTGCTCTCAGAGCCACCTCTGCACTTTTCCTGGGAACTTGGAGCCCTGGAAGGTGGTTTGCACCCCGGCCTTTGAGGGGGCAGGGGTTACGTAGGGGAAAGGCAGGGAAATTTCTGGGCTTTGGGGTCATGAAGTTTGGAGGTCAAGTTTTGTCTTTGCCCCAAGGTTATAAGGATTCTCCTGCCCAGGCAGAGCACTTTTCCTGTGCCCCGCTGTAAGCACAGCACTTCTGGCACTTATTGCCTATGTGACCTTGGGCAAGTTCCTTAACCTCTCTGGGCTTCAGTTTCCCTCACATGCACATGAGAATAATAATGGTATATGCTGGCCTCCCAGGATAGTTGAGGGGCCGAACTACAAGAGTGCTTAGTACCAAGCACTAACCACGAGAGTACTTAGTGCTGCACCGGGCACAGAGTAAGTGCTCAATAAATGCTTTCCACTGTGAGGAAGGAGATGATGTTGGAACTGGCCTGGTCCTCTCTCCATCGTGGGGCTCTTTTAGGTGAAGGAACCCAGACCCTGCCTCTCCCCTCCCCACACTTCCACTACCAAGAGCGCCAAGGTTACTGTGCACTCTCAAGGAGCTCCCTGATCTTTAGCCATCACAGGCCATGCTGTCTCCCTGCCTTTAGGTAGGTCAGCGACGTGGGGACTAGACTGAAAACTGCCTGGTGGCCGGAAACCACCAGAGGGAGGGCCCACCTCTCGTGCAGGGTGGGGCAGCGGTGGTGCTAACGGTAGCAGGGTGCACATGGGGGGTGGGGAGGCCTCCACTTCTCCCTGAGAGAGGGTGTGCAGGGGGGGGTTCCCTAGTGAGTAAGAGCTCGGTGTGGGCAACAACAGGAAGTGAAGGGTGTCGGGTGGCAGGAAGTGGGGCCGGCTGTGCCTAGTTCCTCAGATGGGGCACTGGGGCCAAGCAGTCTGTAGAAGACCCTGGGAGGCCACAACCCTCATTTCTCATTGCCCCGGTGCTCCTTCTTCTGAGGAAACTGAGTCTTCCTACCAGCTGGCCATTTAGGTCACCATGGGTGGGCAACTTCACCTCTCTGAACCTCAGTTTCCCATTTGTGAAATGGGGATTATAATAGTATCTACTTTGTAGTCTTGTCATGGGGGATTAAATGTGTTGGGAGTACTTAACACTTATTGTCCTTGCTGTCATCCTTACTATTCTCCTGCCAGCCTGGGTTATACGTGTGGCACCTGGTATCGAGGGGACTGTCCTGCTTGCTCTTGTCCCCACTATGGGGATCCTTCAAACTTGACGGAAGAAGCTGTTAACCTTTGGGGGTTCTCAGCACCTGATCCTAGGGCAGGGTCACCCAACAGCCCTCCTGTAAGCCTGGGATTGCTTGTAAGAGCCCCAGAAAATCTATGTACCAAAATTTTAAGAAGTGGATAAAATTGATTGTGTTTGGAGCTACGCTGAGAGCTCTAAAATCAAGGGTGAGACTATTGGGGTGGGGGGAATGGATGGGGAAGTAAGAGCTGGTGGACAGGCCCGGCTTCTGGGCCCATCCGACTGGAGAACTCCTGTGGAGCTGGCTGAAACTGGGGTGGGTATCCAAGTTCAGGGACATCATGAGTCTTGAAGGACCGGGCCATGGCGAGAGGTGGGCAGGTGGATTGGGACCGAGACTGAGCTCAAACTGAAAGTGAAACCATAGGGCGTTTGTGTCCGGTGTGGATGGAATCCCTCTAGTCTCTTGGGACACAGCCTCAGAAGGCAGCACTGGTTGGGGCAGGGCCGGGGAGAGGGGCTGGTCTTGGAGCAGAGGCTGGAGGCCCCCTCTGGCACTGAGGAGGGAGAATGCTCCCCACAGGCTCTTACAAAAAGATTCAGGGAATCAGCTGCTTTTCTTGGTTACCCCTAAAAGATGAATCCCCTCCCCCTCCCCTTTGACCCAAAGCACTAAGGGCAGCAGGGAACGTGGGCTGTAGGGTCACTTCATGTCTGGCCAAGCCTTGGAGCCAGGTCTGCTTTACCTGGATGTTTTCACAAACTTCTGCTCACCCTACCGTCCCCTCCCTTGGGGTATTCCGTGGACTCCCCCCTGCCTCTGCCCCTGCATCCGTGTTACACCATTCATAATATTGGGTCACTGAAGAGTATTATTACATCAAAGCACAGCTTCTCAGTGAGTGTTCTCAGGAGCTCTGTGCATGTGAGGCAGGAGGGAATGTGCCCATTTCATGGAGGAGGAAGCTGAGGCACAAGGAGGCACAGAAGCTGCAGGGTGGGTGGGCTTAGTGCTGGGTCTTTTGAATCCAGCTCCTCATCCTCCACATCACAGGTGCCCTATCCCTACCCCCCTCCAAGCGCACACACACACCTGGACTGCTCGTCTTTTCCCATCCCATTAGAGCACTGTCAGCCAACCTTCTACCTGTCCCCCAGTTCCCCATGGCACTACCTCCATGCCGATGGCCCTAGGTCTGGGGATCTGTTCCTGTTTCCAGGGTGGCTTCTCCCCACCCTGAGTGAGTGGCATTCACTGGCCCCTCTCCCAGCCCCTGGAGTGCCTGTCTCCTCGGTGGGCACAGCCACAGCTGAGGAGCAGCTGCTAATTAGTGCTCAGCGCTGTCAGAGCTATTTCTGATTTCTGAGCCTAAATTTAGCCTGTCTGGCAGGCTGGCATGTGGGCCCCGGGGGCTTGAGGAGGCCCAGGTGGGGAAGGGGCAAAGGGGCACCCTGCCCTCCACCACTGTTTGGACAGGTGCATGAGGCCATAGCAGAGGCATCCCCTCATCAGTAAGTGGGGCTGTCCCAGGAGATGGACCAGGGCGGTGGCTCAGAGTCAGCTCCAGGCTCAATGCCAGCCTGGCTCCCCTCTTATGGCTTCATAACCTTGGGCAGGTCACTGAACTAATCTGTGCTTGCACCTGTGAGATGGGAATGATAAGGGTGCCCATAAGAGCCGTGAGGGTGGAAGGTGGTCGTCCACGTGCAGTGCTCAGAGCAGTGCCTGACATGGCACGCAGTCAGCTGAAGCTGGCTACCGTGACTGTTGGGGTCATTATTATGACTAGTTACTGCCTCTAGAAGTGCCTCTGGGGCCATTCCAGAACCAAAAAGGTCCCCAGCCTGGGTGAAGGCCTGGAAAGACCCATGTCAGGAAGTGGCTGTCCCCTCTAGGGCACAGATGCTGGGGCTCAGCCATCCCCTTTGGTCCCCCCCACCACGTCCCTCCTCTGTGCCTGCCATGGCTCCAATTTCCCTGATATCACCTGCCCTGTCTCCCTGCTTGCTCCTTTCCTCTCACCTTGGCCCTGCCCCACCTTTTGTCTCTGTGGGGTGGGGATGGATCAGAGAGAGTCAGACAGAGACAGAGAATGGCTTCAGGGAAGACTCCCTAGCGAGGTAGGACCCTTTGCAGGAGCTTTTCCTGGCCCCTGGCGGGCTGGGGGAGGGCGCCCGATGAGACAGCGGTGGTTTCCTCAATCCAGGCTCACTTTCGCAATGGGAGAGAGGGATGACGTACCCGCCTCCAGCCCGCAGGGTGGGGGTGGTTGTGGTAGAGATGCAGGGTGGAGGTGGGGGGTGGACGGGCAGTTTCACCTCCCAAGTGGGGCCCCAGCCGGAAAGCTTAGGCAATGGGGGCTGAGAGCACCCAGCTTCCGTTGTCTGGGGCTGACCCACAGCAGTGATTTTTGGGGTGAGATCTGGCCAGAGCCCCAGAACTAGGCCCAGCACTCCAGAGAGGAAGCTGGCTGAGTTGACTTGGGTGGGTGGGGCTCCCCGTCTCCTCCAGCTGTGGCCTCTCCTCAGAGCCACGTGACCGAGGGTATGTAGTCTGAACCACCAGAGCTGGTGACAAGAGCCCTCCACCTCTGGGCTGGGGCTCCCTGGGGGCTTCCACATCCCCAACAGAGACCCTGGCTATACTCAAAATTCCTTGAGAGCAAGAGCTGTGTTTTGGGGCCTGACACATAGTAGGCCCTCAATAAACCTGGGATTTATTGAATTGGGGTGAACTGGCCTTGTTTTATGGATCTATTAGAGAGACACACCAAGTCCTGGGGTCCAGGGAGCCCCTAGTGCTGGCAGCGTCTTGTTGACTCCACAGCCCTGGGCTGGGCCCTACACCTGTCCTGTGGTGACGGGATACCTTACTCTCTCATTCTGTGGCCAGGAGGAGGACCCAGGCAGAGCTCTGCTGACATTTCTTAGCTCCTGAGGGGAGTCCCAGCCTGGGCCACCAGCACCACAGTCCCAGCATACTACAGACCCAGTTCCTGTGGCTGAGTGACTTTCCCTCTCGAAATTCGCTGCTGCTGCAGCCATGATGCACCTTCTAGGGACTATTCCTGGCTGACATGGCTGACCTCAGCTCCCTTGGCCATTTCCTTCCTTCTTGAAGGGACCAGATGGGAGGGGGCTGGAGAGGGATGGCCAAGGAGGCTGTTGTCTGCCCTCTTTGCAAGAGGGTTTTTGGTGTTTGTAAGGCCCTGGTGCTCTGGGCCCAGCCTGTGCACACGTGGTATCTGGTGGCATGTGGGAATGGGGCACTGCCCACTGGTCACACGTGGTCACACCTGGAGTTGGCTCCCCACCCGAATTGTGGGGGAGATGATGCCTCCTAATCTCAGATGGAGAAACTAGAGCCCAGAGGTGTCTGAGGTCCCCAGGGAGTTAGGCTGAGACCCCACTTGCCTGCCTCCACGCCAGATGTGCCAGGGAGGCATTGTGGGGGGTGACAGAGCCCAGGCAGACTCAGATTCAAATCCTGCTGTCACTTTCTAGCTGTTAGACCCTGGTAAAGGTGCTCCACTTTTCTCGGCCTCGGTTTTCTCCTTGGATAATGCTACTTATCTTTTGGGGTGAGAGGATGAGAGTATTTATGTGTATGACACACCTACTAGGGAGCCTAGTGGATTCCCCAAAAACGTCCATTCCCCCCTCTTCCCTGATGTTGGGGCCCGAGGCTCAGGGGTCTTTACTTTGTCTTCCTCTTCCCCAGAACTGTATGAACTTGCCCCCTGACAAGATCCAACTGCTGAGCCAGTATGACAATGAGAAGAAGTGGGAGCTCATCTGTGACCAGGTGGGTTCCAGGATGGCTCAGCTGCCCCTTCCCTCCTGCCATTGGGGTGACCTGCCCTGACCAGGCTGGGGCTGGTAGGAGATGGGCCTCGCCATGCTGTCCAGGGGCCAGGACACTGCCCAGAGGCCAGTGCAGCATCTGGGGAGGATTTTGGGGGTGACTCTGGAATCCCCCTCTCTTGGACATGGGCCTCCCCAGAGACCTTGTGAGCCATGTGCCTTGTCTGCCCTCTGAAGAGCTGGCAGGGCTGTTCCAGAGGCACTGGCCAGCTGCTGAGCCTCCTGAGCAGCCTCTCTTGACCCTCCACCTCTGGGGTAGGGAGGGGATGACCCTGGGGATGGACATCTTCATCTGACCCCATGGGAAGTGGGGAGGAAGGGGCAGGAGTACCTGTCCTCCTTTTACCTTGGGACCAGTGGAGCTGCATCCACCAGCAGCTCCCCAAGGCCACCCAGTTCAGACACCCTGTCTGTGGCGCTCCATCCAGGCACCTGTGCTCCCAGCCTTCATGGCTCACTAGGCTGCCTGCACCCCTCAGGCTGCTAGGGCTGCCATCTGCGGCCGCGGGAGGACCCTCTCCTGGCACTGGGTCTCCCCAGTGCTGGGGTGGGGTAGGGCCTGGCTGCTGCAGTGATTCAGAGAAGGAGGGAGGTGGCAGCTGTCTGTAAGCCTGAGGCTGTGGAGGCTGGGGGTAGGGAGGTGGGGAGCCAGGAGCCTCCCCTGGGAGCCAGGCCTGGGCTTTTGCCTCCTGCTAATGGAAGGGGGTGGGATGAGCTGGCTGGGTGGAAGTCTGGGGGTAAGGGCTGGGCCATGGGAAGAGGGTGGGGAGCTGTTTCCAGAGGCTGTCGGGCTGTGGTAGGGGTCCCGGCTGCAGGGGCTCAGCCTAGCTCTCAGAGGTTGGGGGCTCAAAAGCCTGGGAAAAATGGAAGGTTGGGTGGGATTGCTGGGTGTATCTGAGGCATCTGGGTTGGGAAGGATGAGAGCCCCTCTGGGTAGGGGCGTCTGCTGTGGTCCCTGCCTCTTCGTGTGAGTGGCTGCCCGAGCCAGGGGTGGGGCAGGGGAGTTGGGAGTTGCTTGTTGAACACAGGAGAGGAGCACACTCTCACACAGAGGTGCCCGCAAACACGGTGAACAGGCCAGCCTGCCAGGAAGCTGGGCCGGCTTCACACGGGCCCCTCCAGAGTGTTTCTCCTGCACTCCCAGCTCTGGCCCAGGGAGGACAGGGGGCCGGGAGGGTGCCACCTACTGGCTGGACTGAGTTACCCCCAGGGCTAGGCCCATGGCAGGACTGACCCCTCCGTACTCCACCCCAAGGCTGGGCTAGGGCTGTGGCCTGTGAGGCCACGGTGGGAAGGGCAGGCTAGGACTGGGACTGGGGTCTTTTAAAGCGGCTTGGTGAACTATTTGGGTTTATGCTTTAGAATCTCTGAGGTGTCTTAAGACAGCCTGGGACCCCAGGTTAGAGCTGAGAATGGGACGTTGGGACGAGAGCTGGTCATTTGCTCTGGGGTAGCTCTGGCTGGTTCCCTGTACCCCCGATTCCATCTTCCTAGGAGCGGTTTCAAGTCAAGAACCCGCCTGCAGCCTACATCCAGAAGCTGAAGAGCTACCTGGATACTGGTGGGGTTAGCAGAAAGGTAGCAGCTGATTGGATGTCCAACCTGGGGGTATATGTCTCCCCTTTTTATTCTGTCCCTTTCCCCTTGCTCCTTCCAAGCTCTGGGTAGCTGGAGTAACGGTGTCTATAAAGTGGTCTGTGGGCTTGTGTGGGTGCATGTGTGTGTGTGCGTGTGTGCGTGTATGTGTTTGTAGGGTACTGAGAGTGCCCTTGGGATGCACTTTTACAGGTTCCTCTGTATTTCCCATGTGTGCTTACAGGCACACTTGTGGTGCGTACTTGCATTATGTGTGTACATGTGTGCACCCTGTGTGGCCATTCATAGATGTGTGTACTTTTGTGTCCATTGTGGATATGTGTGTATGTTTGTGTGTGCCCTTGAGTTCATGTATAAGAGAGAGAGTGTGTATATGTGTGTGTACACCACGTGTATGTGTATGGATGTGTGGGTGTCCTATGTCTGCGTACCCACGGTGCTTGTGTATGGGTGTGCACATGTGTGTGTGTACTCAAGATGTTCATGTTTGAATGTGTGTACCCTGCATGCCTGCGTATAGATGTGTGTGGGTGTACCTTGTGTGCCTGTGTATGGTATGTGTGTGCATCCTGCATCTTTGTGTGTGTGTGTGTGTGTGTGTGCCTTGTTTGCCTGTGGATTGGGGGGTGCACCCCCCACATGTCTGTATGGGGAGGACACATAGCCTGTGTGTGCTTGCTCTGCTGGGCAGGTGTGTGGAGGTGGTGGGGGTGGTGGAACGTGAAAGGCCATGCGTGCCAGTGGGGCATGGAGGGGCGCTGCTGGCTGCTGTCTCAGGACGTGGAGGGCCTGTGGAAGTCCAGGCTCCACCCACCAGACTCCCCTGTTCTCGGCCCCCAGTTTAAGAGGCGAGTCCAGGAGTCCACACAGGTGCTGCGGGAGCTGGAGACATCCCTGAGGACAAACCACATTGGGTGAGTGGGGGCTCAGGTCTTCCTCTCTGGGCCTAGGAAAGCTCTGCCTCCAGGCAGCTCTGGGGCTTCCCCTTGTGACTCCCTGTACCTCGGACATAGGGCTGTCCTTTGGCCCTCCTGGTGAGTGTGCAGGACAGCTTCCCCTCTTCCTCTCCTGCCCATCCTCTGGCCTGCACCTCGAGGTGTGGTTGGGCTGTGAGTCCTGCCTGGGTTTCCCAGCATCCCCTGGCACCACTGGGTCTTCTGAGGTCAGGGTGTGTTGGTGTCTTCTCTGGGAGAAGAACACCCCAGAGGCCTTTGATTTGCTGTTCTGTGCCCACTTGGGGCAGGTCCTCCTTCCTGGCTGGAGCTCAGGGAGTCCTGTGTCCTGCAGGTGGGTACAGGAGTTCCTCAACGAGGAGAACCGTGGCCTGGACGTGCTGCTTGAGTACCTGGCCTTTGCCCAGTGCTCTGTTGCGTAAGCCCCTCCCTGCCCCTCCTGCCACTCCTCAGAGCCTTGGTCCGTGCTTCCACACGCCTTGCCCACTCCTCTGGCCAGTTCTGAGCAGCGCAGCCTGAGCCCACCCTGAAACCCTGCACTTGGCCCCAAGTGATGCCCCTTTCCAAAAGCCTGCCCTGGACAGGGAGGGGCGTTCCATTCTCTCCCACTGTGCCCATCACAGTGCCAAGGATACAGCCTTCTCCCCTGGCCCCCTGGTCTCCCCTGCAGATCTGTCTCTCACTACATCTTCCCCCATCCTCCCACCCCATTGTTTCCCCAGGTATGACATGGAGAGTACAGACAATGGGGCCTCCAACTCGGAGAAGAGCAAGCCCCTGGAGCAGTCAGTGGAAGATCTCAGCAAGGGTCCACCCTCATCCGTTCCCAAAAGTCGTCACCTGACCATCAAGTATGGGGTCCTCATGGTGGGGTGGTGGTAGAATGGAGGATTCACCCCAACACTGCTGCATCTCGCCAGCCCACCCAGGGCCCTTGCAGTTGGTGGGAGGGGTAGCCAAGCATTGGGGACCAGAGTAAGGGCCTCAGACAGGGACTGGGACACCAATATATTAAGAAGCCTTCAGGGTGGTCACCGAGAGACTGGAACTCCAGTAGGTTTGGGATGAGGAGGGGGTATCTGGGTTGGTGGGACCCCTCTTGTACCCATCTAATCCCGTGTTTTCTCCTATGCGGCCTCCAGGTGTCCCCCTTCTCCCCGGTACGTAGCCACCTGGGAGCAGATGCATGCTTGGCTGACTCCCTGGGGTGGTGGTGGGGTTGGAAGAGGCATTTGACTGATGCCCCAGGTTCAGCTGCTGCAGATAGGTCCCCTATCCTAACATAGGGCAGCCTGCTGGGAGTCAGGGGGGGGGAAGGAGATGGCTTCGGAGCATTGGGTAGATCCCCAGACTCCCACTTTGGGTCTAGGGAGCCAACTACATATTAAACCCCAAACTCTTACAATGTGTTTCTTTGTTCATTCATTTATTTGTACACTCAACAAACATTTTTTAGCACTTACTATGTATTAGGTGTGTGGCAAGTGACCAGGAGACAGATCACCCTGTCCTCAGGGGCCTGCAGTCTAGTGGGGGACAATTCACTGTGACAGGCTGTCAGGGAGGTGTGACTGGGAAGTCTGAGAAGGAAGGTGGCCACTGCCTGGAGCACCAGGAAGGCTTCCCAGAAAATAGCTGTGTCTTACAGATGGACACAGTCTTGGCAGGCAGGGAAGGGCATTCCAGGCAGAAGGAACAGCATGAACACAGATTCAGGCATATTTGAGCAATGATGGGAAACGGTGATGTGGCAGGCCTCCCAGTGTTGCTGGAAATGTGGTAGATTTGTCAAGAGGACTGACACGTGGAAGTCACGGTTGGCACTTCTGCAACGATGAAAACATCACACATTTTTGGCAAAGAATAATTGAGCACACTCACGTAGCACTTACTACGTGCCAGGCTTTGTTCTCAGCTCACTTCATCGTCCCAACAACCCTGTCAGGAAGGTACTATTATTACCATTCCTATCTTACAAATGAGGCACAGGGATATTAAATAACTTGCCTAGGGAGTGGTGAGCTGGGATGCTCTTGTACCATGGCATGAATTCAGAATCTGCCTCTCAAGATGGAAGGTGAGCCTGAGTGGCTGTGAGTGCCACCTTGTGGAGAGCCTTTCTGTGGTGGTTTCTGAGCTTTGGCTGTCTTTTCCTTCCATGGGCTTTCCACCAGTCAGCCCTTTCAATGCCAAATCACTCCAAGGGTCTTTGCTTCCCTGACTCCTCTCCCCCTTGCCCTAGCATGCCAGACCCTGGGCCTAAGACTGAGGAATCCCCCTTGCCCTCAGCTGGCCCCTTTGGTTGGGTAGATGGGAAGCAGTTGCCAAGCTTCCAGATATGCCCCCTGGATTCCAGAGGCCATCTGACTGGCAGGGCGAACAGGAAGCTGGGGCTCGGTGCTCTGACCCCTGCGTCCCCCTTGCCCTCAGCTGGCCCCTTTGGTTGGGTAGATGGGAAGCAGTTGCCAAGCTTCCAGATATGCCCCCTGGACTCCAGAGGCCATCTGACTGGCAGGGCGAACAGGAAGCTGGGGCTCGGTGCTCTGACCCCTGCTACCTCCTCCTCACCCCGCCCAGGCTGACCCCGGCCCACAGCAGGAAGACCCTGCGGAATTCCCGCATCGTCAGCCAGAAGGACGACGTGCATGTCTGCATCATGTGCTTGCGCGCCATCATGAACTACCAGGTCGGCCGGTGGGCATGGGATGGGGAGCCAGGGAGCTGGGCCTGTCCTCGCTGGGGGCTGCTCAGGCTGCTGGGGTTCTGGGACCAACTGTCCCTCTGGAAACCCTGTGGATCTGTGCTGTTGGCTTGGGGTCCTTGAGACTGATGAGTCTTTGGGGGAAGCCCATATTTTTGCTGCCTCCTTGTCAGGTTCCCTGAGTACCCCTGGCCATGGCTGGGGACATGGATGGACCTCACATGGGGACTTGGGAACACTTACCAAAAAAGGGCTAGGCATTGAGGCTGATGGGGCGAACAGCCTCTGGGTTATTTTGTTTGGAGGACTGACTGGGGAAGCTGGGCCCTCCCTCACTGAACCAGCCTTTAAGGACTCACTGTGTCCATGGTGCCTGATACTGGCTTTCAAAAAGACAAAGGTATTTAAGAAGAGGGCTAGGGCCAGGCTTTGGCTGCCTCAGAAGAGGTTATGGTTGGATACGAAGAAGAACTTCCTAAGCTTGGCATGGCACTGGCTATGTTGGCAGCGCTGGGCAGGAGGATGCTGGCAGTCCTGGGGGCCTGCCTGGAGGTGCTGACCTCTTCTCCCATCTCCCTAGTCTGGCTTCAGCCTTGTCATGAACCACCCAGCCTGTGTTAATGAGATTGCTTTGAGCCTCAACAACAAGAACCCCAGGTGAGGTCCATGCCCTTAAACTTTTTCCACACCTAGACCTGTCTCCTACTTAACCCATTACCTACTCTGTCCCCAAATTCTCAGGACTACTGCCCAGGCTCATTCCACCCCCACCATCAGCTCACCTGTCTTCCCCCTAGCCGGGTCTATGTCCACCTTGCTGCAGGGGCTGCCTGTTCCCAAGCGACAACCTGCTCCTTCTCTTCCCAGAACCAAGGCTCTGGTGCTGGAGCTGCTGGCAGCTGTGTGCCTGGTGCGGGGAGGACACGACATCATCCTTGCGGCCTTCGACAACTTCAAGGAGGTACTGGAGCCCCCACCTGAACATGTACTTGCCCCTATGGTGTTGCTTGGAGTCCTGTTTCTGGCAGTTGTGGCCTCTGCTGGGGGCAGTTGGGGACATTGGGTGGGTATTTGGGGAACCCAGAAGACAGTCTGGGATGGGAAGTTCTGAAAGGAAGGTGCAGGGTCAGTTAGGGGCACTGCCTGGGGCAACAGGAACAACTATAGCGATCAGCTCCACCTCTGACTCTCAGCCTTGCCAGATCCACACTGGACTTGATCCATTCATTCTGGAGTTGCTGACTCTGTTTAACAGGCTTGCAAGAAGTCTGTGCAGGGGAATATGATGCCTACGGCAGGATACACTCATTCACTCCTTTAATGAATATTTATTGAATGCCTACTATGTGTCAGGAAGTGGGCACTTGGATATATCAGTGAATAAAAGAAACAAAGAAGGTAGGGGAAGACAGATAACAAGCAATATAATAAACAAGAAAATTACATAGTATATTAGAAAATGATCAACGTTATGGAAAAAAATGCAGGGACGCTGCAGGGGGTGGGGGATCTGGTTGCGGGGTGGTCAGGGAAGGCTTCATTGAGAAGGCGAGATTTGAGCAAAGCTGTGGGGGAAGTGAGGGGCTTGGCATGGTGGCTCTCCCGAGTAAGAGCATGCCAGGCAGTCAGCAAGTGCAAAGGCCCTGAGATGGATGTGCCAGGAGACCAGTGTGCCTGGAATGGAGTTAGGGGACGGCTGTGGGAGGGGTTGGAGAGGAAGTGGAGGTTTGCAGCAGAAGAGAGGCATGGCCCGACTTAGATTTAACTTGAGAGGAACCTGTGGAGGCACAAGGTGGCAGCTGGAAGATTGCTTAGGAGGTGCACCACTGGGGCCTTGGTGAGAGCCATTCCCTCTACCCAGGTATGTGGGGAGCAACACCGCTTTGAAAAGCTGATGGAATATTTCCGGAATGAGGACAGCAACATTGACTTCATGGTGAGTTTGGGGAGCTCAGCGGGCTGAAGCCTGGGCTGGGCCCTCTTGGGTGCAGGGAGCAGCTAGGGGCCTGGGTGTCCGGGCTCTGGATTCTGCCTCAGCAAAATGTTAGGATTGAGTGGTCAGTGGGGGAACAGTGGATGTTGGGAGCAGGGGATAAGCTGGACTGAGGGGACATGAAGGTGAAATGCAGGTCGGGACAAATCTGGGTTTGTAGAGTTGAGTGCACTGTGGAGAGGGAGGGATATTTGGGGGCTGGCGGGGGGTGGAAGGCACTAAGCACCCCCCCCCCAGAGGATCATAGATCCGCTCATGTCCCCGGCCCCCAGGTGGCCTGCATGCAATTCATCAACATCGTGGTACACTCCGTAGAGAACATGAACTTCCGTGTCTTCCTGCAATATGAGTTCACCCACCTGGGCCTGGACCTGTACTTAGAGGTGAGCCCTGCACTCCCTTAGGCTTAACCAATGTCCCACTGTAGAGTATGGCTAAGTGGTTAGCAACATGAGTGTTAGGGTCAGACAGACCTGGGTAACACCTAACATGAGTGTTAGGGTCGGGCAATCCTTCCTAACCGTGTGACCTTGGATAGATCTCTTCCTTTCTTTGAGTCTCAGTTTTCCCATTTGTCAAATAGGAGAAACATAGAGATAATAATGACTAAATGTGTAGATCAGTGCCTGGAGCATAATGGGTAACCAGTAAGAACTGTTGTTACAGGCACCAGAACAGGCTCAAGGTAGCCTTGGAGCTGGCTCTGAGCGCATCAACCTTAGGCAGGCTGTCTGACTCCAGCGCATGATGGGGCGTCCCAGAGATGTCGGGCGGAAGTAGGAGCTGGCTCATGCTGGATGGGTCCAGGTCGTGGGGAGGGTGGGCAGAGGAGCTTGGTGCTTGCTGGCCCCACCTGAGCAGAGAAGCTGCATCTTCTTTCTTGATTCCTTTGGGAGGTTTCCTAGAGGAGTGAGGCCTTTGGGATTGGATTTTTGAAAACCAGCATTAACAAAAGGTGAAGGCAGCCTAGGGTGGTATATCCGTACAGTGGAATATTATTTAGCCATAAAAAAGGAATTAAGTACTGATATGTGCTACAATATGGATGAGCCTTGAAAACATTATGCTAAGTGAAAGGAGCCAGACGCAAAAGTTCATATATTATGTGATTCCTTTATTCATTTATTTACTGTATGAATAAATTTATTTCTTTATTATATGAATAAAGGAATCATATATGATTTTTTTTTTTTTTTTAAAGATGACTGGTAGGGCCGGCCTTTTTTTTTTTTTTTGTCTTTTTTTTGTGTGTGTGACCGGTAAGGGGATTGCAACCCTTGTCACCCGCACCACGCTCAGCCTCCCAGTGCTGCACTCTCCCGAGTGAGCCACAGCCACGGGGCAGGCCCAGGGCCGGCCTTTTTTTAAAAAAAAAAAAAAGATGACTGGTAAGGGGATGTTAACCCTTGGCTTGGTTTTGTCAGCACCACGCTCTCCCAAGTGAGCTAACCGGCCATCACTATATAGGATCTGAACCCGCGGCCTTGGTGTTATCAGCACCGCACTCTCCCGAGTGAGCCATGGGCCGGCCCTTATGATTTCATATTCATATTCATATATGATTCCTTTATTCATATTCCTTTATTCATAGTCAGTGTCCAGAATGGGCAAATCCATACAAACAAAAAGACTAGTGGATGGGGGGGTAGGGGGTGGGGGGGGAGAGAGAACGGGGAGTGACTGCTAATGGGTGCAAGAGTTTCTTTTTGGGGTGATGATAATGTTCTGGAATTAGTAGCAGTGGTTATACAATTTTGTGAATACACTAAAAACTACTGAACTGTACACCTAAAACAGTGAATTTTATGGTATGTGAATTATACCGCAATTAAAAATAAAGAAAAAAAGCAGGCTAGGGCCTAGGTCCCTTCCCCTGGGATCCAGTGGTGGTGGGGGGTTGGAAAGACTCCCTACATTGGGCCTCACCCATTCCTTCCATCTGGGGGACAGAAACTTCGACTCACCGAGAGTGACAAGCTGCAGGTGCAGATTCAGGCCTATCTGGACAATGTGTTTGATGTGGGAGCGCTGCTGGAGGACACTGAGACCAAGAATGCTGTACTGGAGCACATGGAGGAGTTACAGGAGCAGGTGGCACTGGTGAGAGCTGGTCCTGAACCCCACCCAGAACTTAATAGGCCCACAAGACATGTCTGTCACAGGGCTCCATGCTGGCAGCGGGTACTGGGCTGCAGACACTGTTCTAGATGTGAACTGGAGGTGGCTGTCTGCCTGGCCCTTGAGTTTGACCTGAATCCAAATCCTGAATCTTCTGGGTGTCTTTCTCACTGAGCTTTCAGTGAGCTCCTACACTGCACTGGGCCCACGAGGAAGGCAGGTCCTTCCTCTTAAGATGCTCTGACCCCAGGCCCTGACTTGGGTGAACTGCCTGGGCTCCCTCCCAGCTCGGTCTCCTAATCTGCTCCCACCTCCCCCATCAGTGATGCCTTGGTTTCCCCTCCTCGTTTACTTGGGTTCCAGTGCCAGATTCAGCCCACCCTCGGCCCGCCGGGCTGAGCGGAGGTGGGAGCCTCCCCCAGTCCTCCAGGCAGGCATGCCTGATGCCGCCCCCTCACCGGCGGTGCCAGGGCCCGGCGGCGGTTGGTAGCTCACCACGTGCCGGTGTCACAGCTGACAGAGCGGCTTCGGGAGGCGGAGAACGAATCTATGGCCAAGATCGCCGAACTGGAAAAGCAGCTAAGCCAGGCTCGCAAAGAGCTGGAGATCCTGCGGGTGAGGCTGGGGCGTGGGCCGGGCCGGGCTCCCAAGAACAGGCCAGCTTCTAGGCTTGACATCTCTCTCCACCCCGGGAAGAGGAAGGGGGCTCTGTGCCAGGGAGCCTGCTGGTGGGCACTGACTCCTCCTCTGGGGCTCACAGGAGCGCTTCAGCGAATCGACCGCCATGGGCGCCTCCGGGCGTTCCCCCGAGCCTGACAAAGTGCCTGCCCCCGCCTCGGCGCGGCCCTCGGCCCTAGAGCTGAAGGTGGAGGAGCTGGAGGAAAAGGGGTTAATCCGTATCCTGCGGGGGCCCGGGGATGCTGTTTCCATCGAGATCCTCCCGGTCCCTGTGGCAACTCCGAGCGGCGGCGGTGATGCTCCGACTCCGACTCCGGGGGTGCCCACCAGCTCCCCTAGCCCAGGTGCGCAGGGCCCAGAGGGCGAGCCTGCGGGCATCGCCGGCGGGCGGGGAGCTAGAGAGGGAGGTCTGGATCGTGGGCGTGGCTCGGGTAGGAGCGGGCGGGTCGAAGAGGACCCAGTACGCATGCGCATGCGT